TTTGTGTACCAAGGCCGTAAAAGTGATCTTTTTTGGCCGAAGCTGCTGTTTGTGGCCGAGGCGGTAGCCGAGGCCGCAATTCAGATGAGGCCTAACAAATCACTTTTGGCCAAGGTGCACACAACATTTTTTAGGCGATCATCAAAAAAGAATTCAAAAATTTGCTCATAAACATATTTTTTCTGAAAATCATAGTTATCTTAGACAATTAAAAACAAAGCATTTCCTGTCATATGTAATAAATTATAATTAGCATCTTTGCGTGTGTTTTGTGCGTATCAAAATGGGTGATAGCGACAGTTCAGATACCCCAAATGAAATTTTGGAAGCTGCAAGCGTTGCGACCCTAAGTCATATAGGTATGATATAAGAGCAGGCGTTTGAGAGTAAAAGTACAATCGCAACTTCCTCCGTTGCACAAGATTTTAATAATGTCAAATGCAATAGGTCCTTCGTAACTGTGGCTTCCAAGACCTTATAGTTAACATGCTGTACAATTATTAGAAACCTGATTACCTACTTTGATGGCAGGTATAGGTAGCTACTTGTGTTCTCGGTTAATTGCTGGTGATTCTTCGCATAATAATGTAAGCAATAACATCTTCCTCATGTTTTGGTTCTACACTTCAAAAAGGTCTGCAAGCAGCAAAGATTGAAACGTCAAACTATAATTTTAAATGTGAACATTGTGATTATGCAAAATAGTGTGAAACATTCCTACAAGTCCGAAAATGAAAAAAACGCACGTGGATGGCCCAATCCTTGATGGGGCTAGACCAGATAGACGCTTTGTATTAAACAGATTACTGTTTCTCAAACATCAGTTTCAAATAAGTACAGTTTGACAGATGTGTACAATAAAGTAAAGTTTGACAGAAGCGTACAATAAAGTAAACTTTATGGCCGCAAAAGCGTCCACAAAATCAACGTTTTTGTGATGATAGCCTAAAAAATATCTTTTTATTATACCTGAATCACAATCTCCGTTTTAAACACTCAAATGCGTGCGAAAAAGGGCCTTTAAAACACACGTGCTTTAAAGTTGCTAAGTAACGATACTTCAAGTATGACTTTTGAAACTTTGCGTCGTGCCCTTAAACTCGTTGCGCGTGCTTTAAAGACTTGATTATAACACTTGTATCTTAATATACTATTTTTCACGGTTAAAATATATCGGGAGAAAATACAGTTACAACCTCGTTAATCCGAATTGATTCGGACCACCGACCTTTCGGATTATCAAATTTTCGGATTATCGCGAAACTAGTGAAAATAATAAATTTGGACACAAGCATTAAGAAATAAACTTTATTCTTTTCAACAAAACATAAATTTAACAGACCAAGGACAGAAGTCAGTTAAATACTGCACGTAAAACAAAATTAAACTTTGTCCTTGTAAAAAAGCTTAAGTTAACATTCATATGTATTTATGAGTACAGTATGTACTATACACATAAATCTTTCGGACTATCGCGATTTCGGACTAGCGTGTATTCGGATTATCGAGGTTACACTGTATTCTAAAGGAGAAGTACCAACTAACATACGCTGAAGTCCTAAAGTTAAACTTTTTTTGTGTTAAAAGAAATCACTCCGGCAATTTTCAAAATTTCAATCAGGGGTAATTTGATTTTTTTAATGGAACTACGAAGTTTTTTTTATTGCATGAAATGTAAAATTTTATTACCTTTCTAACGATATAAGCAGGTCGGTATGTTTCTCTTACCCTTACCTACCTATTTTTTGTAATTCAACAATTTCTAATAATACAGTGTTTTTGCGATTTTAAAGCTTCTCGGTAATCAGTAGGCCGTTAACAATTAAGAACACCAATTTAAATGATAAAACATCATTTACCCCCAACAAAACAAAACAAAAACTTTTGTTTGTCGTAGCCCATTTTGTTTGCATTTAAACTTAAACCAATGCGTGAACTTATAAATAAATCAATTTGAATAGTAAGCCACGAAAGGTCATATTAGAATCAGTTTAGTTTATTAGCATTTACATTTCTGTTGTTGATTGTTGTGTTAGAAAAATGGAGTTTAAATAACATATTTTAAGTAGGTACTCTTTTTTTTGCTCTTCTTCAAAATGTTCTGGTGCACATTGTAGAAGAAATGTGGTTTCACCACTATGGTGTCCTACCTCATTTTGCTATAAACGTTAAAGAATGGCTGAATCAACAATTTCCTGGGAGGTGTGGTCTTGAACATTTATTGAAATAATTATTTTTCTCTTATTTTTATTTAAACTTTTTATTTTGATTTTTTTAAGTATTTTATTTGGAGTAAATTTTTTATAAATTCAATTGTTTATAATTTTTAACGGCCTATTAATTACTGAGAGGCTTTGGAAATCGAAAAACACTGTGAATTATTAGAAATTGTTGAATTACAAAAAATATGTAAAAGATAAATATCGACATGCTTATATTGTTAACAAGGTAATAAAATCCTACATTTGATGCGATAAAAAAAACTTGGTAGTTCCATTTAAACAAAATCAAGTTGCCTTTGATTGAAATTTTGAAAATTGACGGAGTAATTTCTTTTAAGACAAAAGAAGAATTTAGTACATTTCATGATTAGTAACCACTGCAAAGTCAGGGCCTTCTAAGTTTTATGATAACTGCGATATTCAATTTTTACTGGACATCTACTTTTTGAAAAAACGACGAATTGCGGCTAAACGAATCATTTTAGACATCATGTGTAATACATAAAGTCACACTATAATTGATCAAGGAATCCAAATATGTAACAATATACAGAGGGTTCCATTAAAAAAAATGAAAGTTTGTTATAAATCACCCTGTATAACAATTGCAATTACGTTGAAAATATTGTAGGTTGTAGCCTGAAGGGTCTTTCAACATTGCCCCACAATGAATTTTAAGTATGCGCGTTAATAAACCCACAATCTTCCACCCACACACTAATGGCCCACCCTGTATATGGAGTATAGTATATATCTCGGTAAATATCAACTGTATACAACATTTTTCTATATGCAAGTTGTTTAACATTTGATTTCCCATACTAATGCAACATTCAGTTGTTTTTATTTCAGAAATCAAATGAGTAACTAAAAACAATTGAATTTTGTTAAATGGCAGTGCACCTTTTCATTAGGCTCATTTGATAGAGATTTTTTTCTCTTTTCGATGATAGGTATAACATGTTAGTACTCTTATACAAGAAAATTTTTCAAAAAAATTTATAATAATCACATCAATAACATTAATCTAGATATCCTACATCAAAATAAAACAAAGTGTACGTGTCTTATTAAACCTTGAAGGCAAAATGAAATTAGCAATAAAATGGTAACAAACGTACACATTCATTTGTTTTATTTTGATGTAGGATGTCTAGATTAATGTTCTAGATGTGATTACAAGTTTTTTTGAAAAATTTTCTTGTATTAGGGTACTAACATGTTACATCATCGGAAAGAGAAAAAAAATCTCTATCAAATGAGCCTAATGAAAAGGTGCACTGGCATTTTAAAAAAATCACTTTTTTTTGGTTACTCATGTGTTTTCTGAAATAAAAATAACTGAATGTTGCCTTATTATGGAAAAAAATTGATCACAACATATGCTTTTTAGGGTCGAGCTGAATTTTACAATAAACCTAATTAAATACCCGATGCCCCCCACCTCATCCCCCCAGCTATAAACTCTGTCGCATAGCTAACATCAGATCAATGTATAAGACGAGGAATAAGAGGTTGGCACAAAGCCAGAAACTGGATTTTGTGTGGGAATCGGGTGGTAGTGGAGACAGTGTTTAATAACTCCCGAGGTTTTATCCCTAATTAACATTGGCTCAGTAAAATGGTTCAGGGATAATTCAGAAATCGTCTCCGTCGAGGTCTCCGTGATACCTATGTGTTTAAATCAGGCCAGAGGCATTATACGACTTTGAGGAAACGTGATTGTAGTGCAAAAGGAAGACATCCGAAGATCTGGAGGTTTAAAATTGACACTATTAACCAAAAACGTAAAGGAGGAAGGAGAAATGCGTAATTGGTGAAAATAACGTGAAAAACGCGTAACAAACATGATGAAAGAATGCATAAAGAAAGCACACGTGAACGAGGGGCGAAGAAGAAGTGAAAACGTTGTAAAGTGGATTTGGGTAGTGGTAAAAGGGGGAGGTGAGGAATTCAGGCGTGAAGAAAAGGAAGAAGTCAATGAATAAAGAATACCAGGAAGGAGAATATCAACAATATACATGCGACCACGATGGCTTTTGCAAATGGCGGACAGTAGTTTCCTGTTCCAGTGGCGTACCTACCTTACAGTTGTAGAAGGATACAATTATAAAGAATTTTACACGAAAACAATGTGTCTACTCCGCCTATGACTTTTGTTTAACTAACCTCAAACTACATTCCGATAAAAAATTTGTAAATTTACATGTACCTACTATATAAAAATAATATTGGTATCAATACTTACACATGAAATGTAATTCCCAAACTTTTATTTTTTTCCGTTTTGGAGCAACCACAAGCACAACAACTAACCATTATTTTATGTCACTGCAAAAACCACAACAAAAATGAGTCATAAGTGGCTTTTGCAAATGGCCGACTTCCGTCTCACTCTCTCTTGTATACAACCTGAGTAATGCTCCTTCCTGGTATTCTTCATTCATTGGAACAAGTATTAGAGAAAGAAAAGCCTGGAGGGGAAAAGGTGTGAAAACAGGAAAAACGTAAAAGTGGGAAGTGAAAGCTTAAATGTCCGGGAAGGAAGGGGTGAGGGTACAGTTTTCAGGTAAATTCGTACATGACAGCCAAATTAGAGTACAAAACAAATACAATTAAACTATTTACTTAGAAAGTACCATTTACTTAGGTATATAATTAGTTAATTCACGAGATATGTATTGGACGACACCCTTTAACCTTTCAATTTCCCCACTTAAGTGAAATCTATAATAAAGTAGCGTATCGTCAGAAAGAAGCGTAGTTGCTACTCCAACAGGTTCGTGATGCTCAAAACTTGCTTGTTACTGTTGTTGGTAAAAATGTCGATACAGTGTGAAGTTCCCAGTTTCAAAAACAATATAATAGTGGCAAATGGTGATACCCCAACAACGATAAGCGGTTGTATTTCGCCTGACACCATTGGATTTACATCAATTTTCCGAATAAGTGCAGAAAATCAAGCTATTCAAGATTTAAATCACGGTGCAGTGCAGGGAATTTCGAGCAAATTTGAGATCGACTTTCACAATACCAGCGTCGAGATTATAAGAGAGGGGGCCTTTTTGGATCTTCCCCAACTTATTCGAATATATTTCATGGAAAACGAACTCTTCTGGATCAGTGAAAGTGCATTTCGGAATTTGCCTTTGTTAACTGAAGTGCACCTGGAACATAATAAGATCACAGATGTGTCGCCGCGTGCCTTTAATAATCTTCCGAACTTAACCACAGTGTCTCTTGAGAGAAATAAATTGGAAAATTGCGACCAATCTTGGTTTTATAAAACGCCAGTGCTTCAGTCCTTAAATTTGGGCGAGAATCGCTTGCGGAAGATTCCACGAGCTGCCTTTATCAACCTGCCCTCAATTCAGAGACTGTATTTGGATCTAAATCAAATAGAGATCGTCGACAAAAACGCCTTTATGGGATTAAGAAATTTGAAACGTTTGGATTTGTCTGATAACAAATTAAAAAGTTTTGAGTTTAATTTCTACGCCCCTTCGAAATTGACGTTTGTTTCTATTAACAATAATAACATAACGTACATATCTGATGAAGTGCTGGACGTAATACGACCCCAATTATCGGAACTGATCATAGTCGATAATCCTTTGCAGTGCGCATGCTTGGAGAAAATAATAAAATGGAGTGACACCTTTAATATAAGTGTTCCACAGTGGGAATTTGAACAGTCCGGCGCAGTTTGTACAGTTCCAAAGAGAAAACCAAGCCAGTGTCTTGAAAGAGGTGATGATGATTTCGAAGAGGGATTTTGGGTTAGTTTTGTACGTGAACGCATACACGTTGTTAAATAATTCCGATCAGAAGTTTGATCACAATAACATTGTATTCTACTTCTGGTGGAATTCTCATTTGTTGTCCATTGCGCAATAGTGTTAAGCAAAAGGGTTGAATTCTGAATATTAAAAAGTTATTTCTAATAGTTACTTGTCTTGAAAATAAATTATAATAATTTATAAAGTTGCTCAATGAATGTACTGTTGGTTAATAGACTAATAGACAGACTGAAACATTCCAAAAAATAATCGTATCCGCATTTTTTTATACAGTGTGTCCCGCACCATAGAATATGCATTTGAAGTTAGCGTTCAACGTACGTTATTGCTGATTTGGCTGATGCTAGAAAGAGATTGGAGTAGTAACGTTGAACGCTTTCAAAGGCCTCTTGAATACTTCGCGAAAAAATACGTTGCCGTTTCCGTAGAGAGATGGACTAGCTCCCTTCGCTTAAGCACATCTCGCACAAAGTGATAGCGTATGTCAATCTGGAGTGATAGGTTCGATTCCCTGCTAAAGCCAAAGAACCACGATTATCACCGAACACAATCAAATCGTATGAATTGCTAAATCCTAGTTTGGCAAGGAATCTTCTCAAGAATATGGTTTTTTGACACCCTCATATAAAGCTCCCGGCCCTTGCGCAACGGAAGAATTCAAGATTGCGCCTTGTTTCGTTTCCGTGGAACACGCGTTTTTGTCTTCTCTGCCCTACATTCAAATGGCCCATAATTTACAATAACATCATAAGGCGAGACAAGGGCAGTTAATGATACATATCGACCGATGACCGCGCGTCGGTATTAACAATTTTCGTCTACGATTTGCTTAAAGGTGAAATTTAGACAGAGGTATTTGTGGTTTTGTTGAAGGCAGAAGTAATTTTTACGTTTCGAATAGTGACGTATTCGATTTATCTTTACGCCTAATGCATCCATCTAGTAATTATATGATCGTGTTAGATTATTTGGGCAATTAACGCCATTCCCGTACAGCAGGGGTATTGTCATTTATAACTCATTCTAAATACAAATGCCCTTGTATGGGTCTACTGATCATACTTTGAATTAAATGCAAGATTCGATTATGTTTTCTACGTAAACATGTTGGTTTTCAATTTACAGTATCCCTTTGTTCCTAGTGCTGGTTTTACCTGCCAACCCGCAATATGAATTACTGACCGATTTACGTTTTTTATTTATATGTGATACAGTATGTTCTCTTAGGGATGATATTCAATACGAGTATGCAGAATTAAACGATGTAATAAATATTATAGCGATTCGTGGAAGATGCTGTATTTGGAAACACCGATACTACATGTTTAATTTATAACTGAATTTCTTACAGCACACTTCCTTTCTTTTACATGAATTTGTTATTGTTTATTTACAGGGTGCTTCGTCTGGGGGCGAGTGACGTACGTTAGGTTTGTTACATATTACACTTGGCATTGAGAATTAATTACTTTATACTAATGTTTTGCCACGACTGTTTTGTTGTAATGTGATACTTAACGTTATGCTCCTACTATTTATTTGAACCGGGTGATGTACTGTGCTATATTTGATATCGACAATTAATCTCGAATTGACGTAGCATATAAGCACACTAGACACTTGCCTAGGGGCGGCAGTATTAGGGGGCGGAATTTTTTTGCACTATATGTATTTTAGCTCGTATTTTAGATATTTTAAGTTTTAAAATAAGTCCCCTAACAAGTTACAAATGAAAAAAATTTTAATTAAAATTATGAAATAAATTGGAATTGGTAGATAGTTCAAACAAACTGTAACTATAAGAACGATAATCGACAATGCAAGTTTTGCCGTGTGTGAAATTGTAATTAGGTATACTGTATTTCTATTCATATTAGTTTTAAAAATTTCAAGTTATAATGTGATTTTTATTAGCATCTTAAAATTTATTGAAATTTAAAGATTATTTTTCGAAGGGCGTATATCATTCGGTGTGCCTAGGGGCGCAAAAAATTTAAATCCGCCACTGGCACTGGCTAAGCCCGGCCTCACTTGCGCAAGGACGAGGGGGTAGTCTCTGGTATTCCCGTGGTAGTTTCTGGTATTCCTGTGGTAGACACTGGTATTCCGAAGGTAATCAGTGGTAGTCTCTGGTATTCCCATGGTAGTCAGTGGTAATCGCTGGTTTTCTGGTGGTAGTCTTTGGTATTCCTATCAGCATTTACTAACTTTTTTTATTATTTTCCATTTTGCTTGTATGTAGGTAGGTATTTCCGGCATAAACTATGGTTTTTGTGATTTTGTCTATCAAATCGCATACTTTTTAAATTAATTGGATTGATTATTGCAGTGCTGGTGATTGAAGGTGACGATTCAGTTTTAAAGGTGGTAGCGATTCAATCAGTAATAATGTATTTGTGTTGTATGTTTAAAAACATGCCAAGGTCGAGGCCAACGTTTCCATGATAATCACATATATCTTAGATCTGGATCTAGACCCTTTTTAGAAGATGATCTTGTATCTAGATCTAGATTATATTATAGTAGACGAGATAATAGATCTTCCACTAGTAGATCCAAAGATCAATTTTAATTTATTTATGTTATAAATGTTTTTAACATTGGCGGAGTAAATCCTTTCTATCTCGCCTTTCTATATTAAGAATAAATGTGTTCCATTCAAGTTTTTGGGATTTACCATCCTTTTAAGAGTAGACAGCTTTAAGCAGAAAGTCAATACTCATTAGCACAATGGGTAGTTTAGCTTAGGGGGTAGTATCGGTAATTGTTTACAGTACAGGGTGAGTCAACGATTGCGCGGAATAACTTAATGCCTTGAAGATAAGATTTTTCGATAGAGTGCATTTGTATTATGATATGGTTGAATATTCTCCACATTTTAAAAATATTTGGAATTATACAGGGTGCGCCCACAAAGTAGGGCGCCCAAATGGTACATTTTTTAAAATAGAACCCCCTGTATTTGAATGCATTTTTGAATTCTACGTGTAATTGTACGTCTTTTTTATTATATGGTTAATATCCGAAAAGCTAGTAGTTTTAAAGATAATTCGATTTTTAAGAAAAATTGGGCATTTGCAAGCGTCAGTATATTGTCATATATTACTTAAATTTTGATTCCAGGTTTTATATCTTATCCTGGGTTAAGTAAAAGTCAAATAAATACATCTACTATGAAACATTAAAAATATAGCTTACAGGGTGTTTTTTTTGGTAGGTCCAAAGTTGCAAAGCTTCATATTAAAAAACCTCACTTTTTAAATGGAACACCCTGTATATTTTTCTGTCAGCATTTAGCTCCTCCAAAAACCTTCAACTTTTGATAATAATGTCCTATACATATCTCTGATAGTTTTCGAAATATCATGGTTTTCCTGGGTTTTATATTCTGATCTTAAATAAGTTATATGTAATTTACATAATAGTGAGGTCATGCAAAAAAAGGCAATTTTAATCTATCTCGTCCAAAACGAAAATCATATCGATTAATTTATTTTTCAAACAATTTATTTTGAGTCCAAAAACTGGAGAATAAGTAAAAACATTTGACTACAAAGCAAATTTATTTTAACTTCTAATGTCATCCAGTCAGTGATATTAGTTTCATTTTTTTTTCATATTCAGCTCGTTATTATGTAAAAGTAAATTAGAACTTATTTCAGATTAAAATATAAAAAGTAGAAAAACTAACATATTTGTTTATGTTTTTACTATCAAATTTATTCTCTAGTTTTTATAGACTTAAATAAATTATTAGAAAAATGAATTAATAAATATAATTTTTTTAATGTTTTATAGTAGATGTATTTATTTGACTTTTACTTAACCCAGGATAAAAGATATAAAACCTGGAATCAAAATTTAAGTAATAATTTTGACAATAACCTGACGCTTGCAAATGCCCAATTTTTCTTAAAAAAATGGAATTATCTTTAAAACTACTAGCTTTTAATAATAATATATTTGCTTATTATACAACATGTACTCACAATAAATTGTCAAAAATATATAAAGTATATAGGTACAAATCGAGGTACAAATATAACAGTTGTGTAAAGTAAAAAACATGAACATTATGATATGACAAACTACATAGAATACATTAAACAGATTTATCACACTTTATCACATATGGTACTATTTAAGAATTCTTCACAGTGGTAGCAAGGATTGTTTAGCAAGTAACTTTTGATTTTACTTTTGAGACTGAATTCATTAAGTGTGCGCCAATTATATGGCAATTTATTGTATAATTGGTAAGAAAGGTAAATAGATTGAGTTTTTGACATTCTCTTAAAAGGAATGTATGTTCGAATATGAACCATGTAATAAAAAAGACGTACAATTAAACGTAGAATTCAAAAATGCATTCTAATACAGGGGGTTCTATTTAAAAAAATGTACCATTTGGGCGCCCTACTTTGTGGGCGCACCCTGTATAATTCCAAATATTTTTAAAATGTGGAGAATATTCAACCAGATCATAATACAAAAGCACTCTATCGAAAAATCTTATCTTCAAAGCATTAAGTTACTCCGCGCAATCGTTGACTCACTCCTCGACTCACCCTGTACAACTGATTCATGGGCATGCCGTCGCCGGTGTACCCGAATTATCCGAAAAACACTTTATTGTTATGTAGGTAAGCACACCACTTTGCCTTAAGTAGTAATTCAGATGTAGGTGGTAATTATAATTTTCAAAAAAGGACTTTTTCACAAAAGTTGACGCACCATTTTTCTTGCTGTTTTGCGAATTTTGCATAGATAAAAGTAAAACCTGAAGGGGTTACACAGAATGAGAGATAGATAAGTACCTAAGCATTTTCCGAATAATGAATCAAATCCACCGATGTAAATCAGATTTACATATGAAGGATCTATAAAGGATCTAGATCATTCTAGGACGAACTTGATCTAGGTGCGGATCTTTGATCTGGATCTAGATCATTCAATTCAATTTAATTCTTTTCCTTTGGCATACAACAGTACACAGGACGCGTCATACATAAAAAAAACATGAAACTCATCATGATTTTTAATGTATCTGGAGGTGTATCTAGATCTAGAATTAAAGGATCTTACCCAACACCGGCCGCCAGTCCAGGTACAACTCCTTATCTCGCTGCCACCTGTGTGGTAGTCTTGAGTAATCACTGGTATTCATGTGGTAGTCTCTGGCATTCATTGGTAGTCTCTGGTATTCATGGGGTAGTCTCTTGTAGTCACTGGTAGTCGTATGGCAGTCTGTGGAGTCTTTCGCAACTGGTAGTCTTTCGTACAACATTTTGCTCATGTATTACCCCCTCGCGCAAGGATGTGCTAAAAGCGTGCGGCGTGTTCTCATTGTGCCCTTTTGTTTTTTGTATCCTTCCTATGCTCTTCTGAGAGGCCAACTCCTAGCGTTTTCCTACAATGCCATAACCAGACTACTCGGTGTGAGATTTGGACTGGCCATCCAATATCCAAACTTAATATGCGAATTTATTGTAATGTTTTAATGATTGTTTTTTTTATATTATGTGTCAAATATTAATTCTTTATGGAATTCCAGTGGAGTCTATGATGATTCAACATTATATTAAATTACTTGACAACCATCATAATATGCATTCATGCCATTACAGACAACTAATTTTGCTATACAGTTTAATATTAATTTGTTGGCTGGTTTTTTTCTCGGTCAGTTCTTTTTTTCCCCAGCCTATTGCTCTGTACTCGGTCAACTACCATTTTCTAAATTTAATCTTGCAATGTGAATTATTTGGATTAAATCTCCGTTTTTAAAGCATGTATTTGTATTCCTTACTTGATCCTCACTCTGACAAGCATCACATAGCTTGCAGCGGCTCTTAAAAACACAACGTAGTAAGTAGTCCTATTATTTTGTTATTCAGGTTAGGTAGCTTTGTCTCATGTGCCACAGGATTCAGTTAGTTTGGGAGGGAAAGTTTTGAATTTAAATCTTGAGTTGCGCAGTCTTTCGGGGCTGGCCTGGGTACAACCTTTACCGATGTAGAAGAAACATGGATCGGACTTCGATGGAATGAGACCTCGAATGAGACCTAAATTCTTCATGTCTTTCTTGTCACCACTTGTTTCCGTGACAGTTGCGTCACTTGCGAGTTTAAGCATGCCGCGTCATCGCAATACTGCGGTTCATTGGTCGCACCACTGTCCACGTTAATACAGACGACATCCACCAGACCACCACCATCCCGCTCTCTTTCTTGTGTTTCGGACACACGTTTGTTTTGTGTCCTGACTTTTTACATTTAAAACAACTAATCGTTTTTGTCATTTTGTGGTCGTCACCTTTTCGTTGCGGATTCTGCGACCCGTCGTATTTCTTTACAAACAAGGTGCCCGACGTTTAACAGGCAACGTCCATGTTTATCTAATATATCTGGAATATTAGGTAACGGATAGCGATCATCTTACGTTACATTATCCATATTTAATGATTTGATTGTCGAATGATTCCGTCCTGTAACATGTTGCCTGTTTACTTCTTGTTTATGTATGTACGAGTACCTGTAAGACTTCGTAGAAACCGGTAGTTCGTCTGTTGTTTTAATTTAGTGATTTGTTTGATTAGTGAATGTCAAATGGCCATTGTCTTGGTGGAGCTAAAGTTATTCTTCGGCATTCAGGTGTTCAGTACGTAAATTGTCTTGATCAGGAACGGCTTCGAACTTCAATTCTGCCCACTTCCACGTTGAGTAGCTTCGTTTTTGTGGGTATAAGATAAATGGTGGAAACCAACGGTCAAGAACAGACATGTTTTAATTCTACCTACCGATTGCGCCAATTATTTAATTGGATTTAAAATTAACACGTTCGCTTTGTAATTTATTTAAAATTAATAGATCGTATATATTTGCTTATATGATAAACTACAGTGGCAAAAAGTTCAACTCGTGCCTGATAGTAAAATGAGAGTACAAAAGTCTACAAAAAACAATTTTCTGTTATTGGATAACCTTTAAATTTCCCCAATCTGATAAAATCCACAATAAAGTAGTGCATCGTCAGAAAGATACACAGTGCTAGATTTCCAAATGTTTCGCTATGTTCAAAACGTGGGTAATACTGTTCTTGATAAAGCTTTCGGTGCAATGTCAAGTGCCTAGTTTCGACTACAACATGATGGAGGTAAACGGTGAAAGTCAAGAAATAAATGGTTGTATTTCACCTGACAAAATTCTTTATAAAGGTGAAATTTCCAATATAAAAGTAAAACATCAAAATATTCAAAATTTAAATTACGGTGCGGTTCAAAAAATTTCAAGCAGATTTTTTATCGACTTTGTCAATACCAGCATCGCGATTATAAGGGAAGGGGCGTTCTTGGATCTTCCCCAACTGCATCTAATAAATTTCGAGGGCAACGACCTCTCTTGGATTAGTGAAAATGCATTCAAAGATTTGCCATCGTTAACGGAAATATACCTGGACCATAATAAGATCCAAGATATATCGCCACGTGCTTTTAATAATCTTCCAGAGTTAGCTAAAGCGTCCCTTAGGGGAAATACATTGGCAAGTTTTGACCAATCTTGGTTTTATAAAACGCCAGATCTTCAGTTTTTAAATTTGGGACAAAATCGATTGCGCAACATTCAACGAGGTGCCTTTATCAAGCTTCCATCTCTTACGCGTCTATGGTTGGATAAAAACCAAATACAGTTTGTCGACAAAGACGCCTTGAAAGGGTTAAAAAATTTGAAATATTTGAGTTTGACTGAGAACAAATTAAAAAATTTTGACTTTAATTTCTACGCCCCTTCAAAATCAATTAGTGTTTCTACTAACCACAATAACATAACGTACATATCTGATGAAATGCTGAACGTAATAGGATCCAAATTCTTGTACCTTCTCATAACCGGTAACCCTTTGCAATGTGCCTGCCTGGATAAATTAATACAATTGAGTGACACCTTTAATATACATGTTCCACAGTTGAAATTTACACAGTCCGGTGCCGTTTGTACAATTCCAAAGACAAAACCAAACCAGTGTCTTGAAAGAAGGGATGATGATTTCCAAGAAGGATTCTGGATTAGTTTTAAACGTGAACATACATCAACCGAGACTCTCGATTAAAAATAAACCTGATGACAATAGTAGTGTTATTTCTGAGTTTGTGAACGTGTCACTAATTTTGACTGGTGCTCCATGTCTTAAAAAACTAAACTGCGTGATGATGGACCATTCTAATATTATATTGTTATATATGTATTGCTAATGTTTTTATTTTGTACATTTACAAATATGTTCAAGGATATTTTATAACGTAGTATAAATATTTAATTATTTAGTTAATATTTTCCCAGTTGAATGTCCCAATATTTGTAAGTATTGCAAAGATATTCAAAATAGGAATTGAATACATATGAAACAAGTAAAACCAAAACTAAGTACATGGATATTTCCAGCGCAACCCACTATCATAGGCGCCGCGATACGAGGTACGATTTTGACATTTTTTTTGCCAAAAATACACATGGATCACTTTTTGGGTAACGGTCGAGCAATCGAGTTTGGTTTTTTCCCAAGAAAATTGATGCATAAATAACGAATTTGACATATTTTGGGTAAAAATGTATATGGATCACTTCTTGGGCATCAGGAATAGGGTTTAGTCATTTTCCCAATAAACTTGATGCATAAATAACGATTTTGACAGACTTTGGGCAACAATGTGATGGATGCCGAAGTTAATTTTTGATAGTTGCACATCTGGAACGCCTAAGGTTTAATATATGGAAAACACGAAATCGATACGAGGTCTAGGGACTCAGCTATGGCGCGAAACGACGGACAGACGGTCAGATGTAAGTACAATACTAATTTTGTTCTTGGGTTGTACATGTATATACAGGGTAAGTATAAAGTCGTCGAACATTCGATTATCAAAGCTCTCACGCTCGAACCGTTTGAAATTATTTCACATCTCATTTCACATATTTTGAGGATAAAAATGACACATGGTTTTTGAGTGCGACCGCCATCTTGCATTTTTTTTAAATAGCAACATAGGTCATGTGAGACGTCAGTAGGAAGCCAACTTTTTTCTCTTTCTTACTACCTTGAATCATAAATGTGTTAATTTAGGAAATAATGGAGAAAAAAATCTGTCAAATGTCCATAATTTCACAAAATTTAAGATTTAGTTCTCACGAAAATTCAAGATGGCCGTCGCACTCAAAAACCGTGTGCAAAAAATGTTTTTTACTTATCTCAAAATATGTGAAATAATTTCAAATGGAATCACTTTTCGAATAAAACAAAAACCGAACATAAATAAAACTTATTATCTAGTTTGTTATTCTGCGTCCGATAACAATAAAATACACAGGGTGTTGCATTTAATAACAAAAAGTTAAACCCGAAGTCGAAAACAGAACACATTACGATTATTAAATGCACCAATATTTGTTACATAAGCAATTGTTAAAAAAATTGTTTCATCAAAAATGGAGATAATAATAATAATAATAATAATTGTACTTTATTGACTGAATATATGTAGAATACAAAAAAAAAGACGTATATATAATGTGTAAGTAAACAATCTCAGCCAAAAAGATCAATTCGCCTAATTGCAGAAAGGTCTGCATCAAGCGTTCTACCATTGACCTTGACAAACGAAAAAAAAAACAAAAAAAAAACTCGATACACTCGAAAGTAAAGGAAAGATAAAGAAACAAGAACAAAAAAAAAAGAAACTGTTGACAGTAATTCATACTGGTCGTGTAGCCAATATATGCGTTCCGAGTTTTTTCTCGAGTTTTTTTTAACTTGCCCTGTATATTAAATGATTGCAAAAATTGTGCATACTGATTATCAAAGTTCAACTCGTGCATACTGCATTACAGTAAAATGAGAGTGCAAAAGTCTATACAAAAAAATTTGTGTATACAGGGTGTAGCATCTAAGATCCCTCGGATCATAATTCCTTTACCATAAAAGATATTGAAAAAAGCAAAATTGTACACAATTACCGTCGCCATGTTTCAAAACTATTTTTGGCCATGGGCGTGCTGTACTCCAGTGGCGTATCCAACTTGCATTTTTTTAATGAAACACCATATTGGATTGCAGATTTAGAAAGTACTCGAAAAGTAAGTATATATAACTTAACTTTGTAACTTTCTGCCTCCAGTCAACCTGAATGGCATCAAAATAAACGAATTTTCCCTCGTATTTTATTTCTAGAACGCGATGTTGCGGGCGGCTAATATTTATTCAATACATACTAACGGATGCAGGTATAAGAATTACAGGAAGATTTCTCCTCAACTTTAATTTCAAGTTTTTACTGGACCCGGCACAAGTGCATATAACCCAGACAGTAGTTCACTTAAAAGGAAAAGAATATTGCCTCGATGGTTCCCAAATAAGGTCGGCAAGGATTTATCTGACGACAGCCCTTAAAGTAAACTTCCGCCCGGTTCAAGCGACTCCTCCTCAAAGTCAGTTGAATCGAGCGGCAAGCACGGAGATGATACTTGGGTTCAAGTCTACAAACAGTCTACCTACAAAAAATAAAACGGAAAGCTCTCTGTGAATACAACAAAACAGGTTTCTAATCTGGCTTGGAATATGGTTCTGGTTTCTGGTCGGTAAGAGGTGCAGGCATTAAGATCCGAAGTCTTCACAGTCACATTTTTATAGGAACAAGGAGAAGCACAAAACAAGAGGGGAATTAAAAAGGGATTAATCGGTGACATCTAACGGAGGAATTTTACAACACATAATACACCTACCGATTGCGCCAATTAAGTTTTATTATTTAACTGAATTTAACATTGACACGTTCGCTTTTTAAATTATTAACGATCCTCGAGATCGTTTATAATTTGGCGAGTAATTTGGTATTGCGTTCTATCTGTCTGTGTGCCCGATAAGTTTATTTACAAACGTCCGATGGCTTTGAAAATTGTACATACATTCATAAGCATATAAGAAACGTCGCTATTGTTTTGCAGCTACGTAAATTAACGAGCCAAAACGTGACAGCCCAAAAACTGCGCAAACATTTAAAAAAATGTGTTTCTTCATTCTTGTTACAAAGAACATATGAATGTGAATATTACCAGCGCAACCTACTTAAGTACATAGGCGCCGGGGTACGAGGTCTTTTCCCAAGAAAATCGGTACATAACGATTTTGAGACATTTTTTTAGCCAAAAAGACACATGGATCACTTCTTGGATATCGATCGAGCAATCGAGTTTGGTCATTTTCCCAACAAAATTGATGCATAAATAACGATTTTGATCGGCTTTGGGCAACGACGTGATCGATGCCGAGGTTACATCTGGAACGCATAAGGTTTAATCTCGGTCAGATGTGAGTACAATACTAATTTTGTTCTTAAGTTCTACATATATACACGGGTTAAAGAGTAAAAGTCCCGGAACATTCGACTATATCCGTTATTTAAGCATTATCTTAAATTATTGCTGGGCTTATACAGGGTCGCTATTAAAGATGGAAGCAAAGCTCTCACGCTCGAACCGTTTGAGATATAGACATAAAAACGAGCATAAAAATTAGAACACTTCCATTTGAAATTATTTCACATATTGTGAGGTTAAAAATTTGGCTTTTTGAGTGGGACCGCCATCTTGAATTTTTTAAAATAACAACATAGGTCATGTTGTACGCAATTACTGTCGTAATGTTTCTAAAATATTTTTGATTACCAGGGTCGTGCTGTATCCCAGTGACGTATCAAATTTGCATTTTTTAAATGAAACACCCCATATTATATTGTAGATTTAGGAAGTACTAGAAAAGTTATACCTGGAGTGTTCCATTTAAAAAAAATCGCAAGTTTGATACGCTACTGGAATACCGTACGCCCCTGGCGATCAAAATTATTTGGGAAACATAGCGACGGTAACTGTGTACAAGAATTAAACAAACAAAAGTTGGAAACGGTTGGTTTTAACAAGATGGCGCACCCGTAGACAACGCCCTAATCGTTTGAGAATACCTATCGGACCTATTTTCCATTTTCCAGGAAATTTGTCCGATAGGTATTCTCGCACGCAGGCGCACCATCTTGTTGAAACCAACACTTTACAGTTTTTTTTGTGTGCCATATATCAAATTCGTAATAAAAATGCTACACAATACAGTATGTACTTTTTTTACGGACCATATATAAAAATAAAGTGTTTTTTTTAGAATATTTTGAGAACAAATTAAAAAGTTTTGACTTTAATTTCTACGCCCCTTCGAAATTGGTCAATGCTATTATTGAGAGTGACTGATTAGTTCTCGATCGCCACTTTGGGTTCAGCGAGCACTATTATATTTTGTACAAAAGCCCTTGAGTTTCAGGGAGGTGGTGAAAACTCGAGGGAAACTAATATTGTGAAGACAACACTTACCTTCGGCGAGTGCGTAGATAACGAAATAAAAAAGCACAATAACTTAACACAAAAGCATTTGTTGTTGCGGTTTTAAAATCATAATAGTTAAACGTTCGCAAAATGTCCTCCATTGTCACATTTACAAAATTTTTAAAAATCGTAAAAGTATTTTTTTTCTAAAACATTTCCCTCATATTTTCATCACTTTTGAAATATTTTTAAATTTTTTTAAATATGTACATCTCGATGTACATATTTCCAAAATATCATTTTGCACCTTGCAAACCGATTTGCAAACATTTTCTACACGTTTTTTGAAAAGTTTCCAAAACGTTTTCAAAATTGTTACATATTTTAGATAATTTCTAAAATCTCCTGCACAGTTCCAAAAGTTAGACACATTTCTTTTAATTTTTTTTAACTTTTCCACAATATCGTTTTTATACGTTTCTAAATTTCTATAATTTCACACAAATTTCCCAGCATTTTTGAAACACTTTCTAAGTATTTCCAAAAAATTTTAAAGATTCTAGAAACATTTTCAAACCTTCCTGCATTTTCTTCTTATTCCTAGTGCATTGTACATATTTTTGTCTCTAGGTCATAATAGAGCAGTCCAGATTTGGAACACGTTTTGAAAATTTTTGAAACCTGTTAAACATTTCCACCCTACTATTGCATTTCTGAAAACTGAAGCATTTTCTCAAATTTTCTAAGCATTCTAAAACACATTTACAACTTGAATTAATCCTAGATTCTTACACATTTCCAAGATTTTTTGGCACATTTTTGAAATATTTCCAAAATTTCCTACACATTTTGAAACATCTTCAATATGTGTACAAGTTTCTGATATACCGGGTGGTGCACGGTAAGTAGGAACATAGGGATTTAACATGGGAA